TTATTGGAATTTATTTGGTGTTAACCGAACAACAAAAGAGGCTGCTTCACCTTTTATCACTTTCCTGGCGCATTAATACCTTTTGGGGGATGTGGACTCTCCATCTCTTGTAACCTCTGCTTCGGAAACTCAGGAGGCTGGGGCTGCAGAGAGAGAGGAGAGGAAATCAAAGCCAGGATCAAAGGGGCAAACAGCTTGGGGGCTCTGGGTGGGAGCAGAGCCATCAACTTTCCTTTTCCTGGTTCTCTTGTCAATAAACACCCAGCGCAGAGCGAGGGCCAGGTCTCAGGGCAGTGCGGAGGGCCAGACTTGAACAACAAAGCCGGGAAGAGGGTACTTAGCACTTGGGGAGGAAAGGCAGGCATCTGTGATGTTCAGGGGAGCCGGGGACAGGAGCTGTGGTGGGAAATGTTGGGGATACAGAGCAGGACGGTCATCCCAAATGGCTCCCATCTCCCCGCTGGGGCTGCTCCAAATAATGACACTTTTTTTTTTTTTTTTTTTTTTTTTAAGCTTGTTGCTTTTTCTACTGAGTCCTTACTGGCCTTCCCTCAGGATACAGAGTGCGTCTCTGAGGACTGTCTTCTGTATCACCTTGTTCTTCCCCTTCTGTTTCACCGGATGTCACCAAGGGACAAAATGCCAACAAGGACCAAAGCCCTGAGCAAGTCAGGTGCTAAGTGAGCAGAGCCCAGGTGTGGACGAGAACCCCTGATCTCTGCGACCCTGGCCTTCGGCTAAACCTGAACTTCAGTGTGCTATTCTGAAACTGGTAACCTGACTGGCTTTGGTACAGGAAAGTACCTCCTGGAGCCTATTAAAAATGTACTTGGGGTGCCTGGGGGGGCACAGTGTATTAAGCGCCTGCCTTTGGCTCAGGTCATGATCCCAGGGTCCTAGGATCAATCTCAAGTGGGGGTGGGTGGGGTTGTCCTTGCTCAGCAAGGAGTCTGCTTCTCCCTCTCTCGATCTCAGTGCTCATTCTCTCACTGTCTCTATATATACATAAAAAATAAATAAATAAAAATATTTAAAAGCAGTTAAATTTCACAGATTATGTACTTTGGGAAAATAACTCATCATAATCATTTTTAAAAAAATATTTTATTTATGGGGCACCTGGGTGGCTCAGTGGGTTAAAGCCTCTGCCTTGGGCTCAGGTCATGATCCCAGGGTCCTGGGATCGAGCCCCACATCGGGCTCTCTGCTAGGCGGGGAGACTGCTTCCCTTCCTCTCTCTCTGCCTACTTGTGATCTCTCTCTCTCTCTGTCAAATAAATAAACAAAATCTTTAAAAAATATATTTTATTTATTTATTTGACAGAGATCACAAGTAGGCAGAGAGCAGGCAGAGAGAGAGAGAGAGGGGAAGCAGGCTCCGCGCGGAGCAGAGGGCCCAATGCAGGGATCTATCCCAGGACCCTGAGATCATGACCTGAGCTGAAGGCAGAGGCTTTTTTTTTTTTTTTAAAGATTTTATTTATTTATTTGACAGAGAGAGATCACAAGTAGATGGAGAGGCAGGCAGAGAGAGAGAGAGAGAGGGAAGCAGGCTCCCTGCTGAGCAGAGAGCCCGATGCGGGATTCGATCCCAGGACTCTGAGATCATGACCTGAGCCGAAGGCAGCGGCTTAACCCACTGAGCCACCCAGGCACCCCGCCATAATCATTTTTTAAAGGATTTTATTTATTTATCTGACAGAGAGAGAGAGAGATCACAAGTAGGCAGAGAAAGAGGGGGAAGCAGGTTCCCTGATGAGCAGAGAGTCCAATGTGTGGCTCGATCCTAGGACCCTGAGATCATGACCTGAGCCGAAGGCAGAGAGGCTTAACCCACTGCACCACCAGGTGCCCTGCCATAATCATTTTTTAAGATGTTGTCAAGGATTGGGCTCTTTCCGTTTTCCATTTGGGAAAACAGGTACAGAAGAATTCACGAAAATATTCGTTGTAAGCTTACAGCAGGATAACGGAGTAAGGAATCCAGAACCTGGGTTTCGTGGAAACCACTTATGATTTTAGAGGTGTCTGTCACGCCCCAGAGGAGCGGAAAGTACCTGTGATTTTGAGTGAATGGACACATCAGAGCTTCTAAAGAGAGTTGTGGAAGCTTAGAGCTTCCTAACCCTGGTCTGAGTCTACCACGGAAATGGGAACTCTGTTCCCAGTGAAACCACTGTCTCCTTCCAGACATATTACTTGCATTTTCTGCTCCAGTGTTGTAATGTTAGTTTTAGAAAACCATTCAGATTTTAACAACGTTCCCACTAATGTCCTTTTTTCTTTCCTAAGGATCCATCCCAGGGCACCTGGCGTGCAACTCTTGATCTCCCGGTCATGAGTTCCAGCCCACTGGGTGTAGACTTTATTTTTAAAAAATAAATAAATAAAAATCCAACCCAGAACACCACATTGGACCAAGTCATCACGCATGTGATTAAAAAATCAGAATAAAACGGCACCAGGGTATAGAAGATAGTCTCCTCCTCTAACTCCTTGCTCGAAGTTGCAATCTTGGGTCTCCGCTGATCCCCACCGAGGTGATGCCCTAGGTATATACACACGAGAACACACAATGAAAGCTTCATGTAGAGCACAAGGAGGAGAGAAGGGGAGAGGCGGAAATCCTATTCCACTCCAGATGATCAGGAAGCCACAGGCTCTCCAGAAGTCAGGAAGGGTAATGCTAACTTTGTCTGTCTTCTGGACAGACCTGGCCACACCCCCAAAGGCTGATGTCTCTTGCTGCCAGGTCAAAAGCAGAAAAAATCGTGTGTGTAGGTGGCTTCATCTACCTGTTGCATCCCCTGACCAGGCATCTCATTTCTCTGGGCGGGTCCATTCCAGGCCTGCGAGGCCCCACTGGGATCAGGTGCTGCAGAAGCATGGGGCTGGGATGCAGGACTGCTGGAGGGGTGGGGACAGCTGGAGATTTCCTGTGACTCCTGGCCCTGGGCCATTTCTGGCTCGCTGGGCCCTCTCTGCTGTTAAACCCCGGCCTCCTTCAGAGGTTGGCCTTCTGGTCCCAGTAGCTTACCTGCAGCTGTGAAACTTGGGTCTGCGTGGATCTGGGCCCGTCACCACTGCCTGTGACTGGGACTCTCCTGAGGCCAAGGGGCCTGAAAGACAAAACTGGAGGGAGGGGTTTTGCCCTCCTCCCCAGGATGCAGAGGAACCGAGCAGTGAGCCCAGGAGTGTCAGTGGCTTCGGAGACCTTTGGGCCTCATCTGGATTGTGGAATTAGTCCTGATCTGTAAGACTGGGATGGGAACACCTACTTCATATGAACACACGTGTAGCATGGCCTTGCCCGGAGACACTTCATAAATGGTTTTGAGGTTGGGGTGCCTGGGTGGCTCAGTTGGTTAAGTGTCCACCTCTGGCTCAGGTCATGATCTCGGGGTCCTGGGATTGAGCCCTGAGTCAGGATCCCTGGTCAGTGGGGAGACTGTCTCTCCCTCTCCCTCTGCTCCTCTCCCCGCTTGTGCTGTAATAAAATCTTAAAAAAAAAAAAAAAAAAGTAAAAAAGAAAGAAAAGGTTTTGGGTTAATGAAAGAAGGACGGATCATATGAAAATACAGGGTCTGCCCACCCATCCCGTATGCCCTCTGTCCGAAGACCCCAATGACCCAGCAAAGGAAGAGAGAGGGGAAGGGAGCAGGAGGGAGAGAGAGAAGGTGTAGTTGGGAGATGGAGGAGCAGGCTGCCCGGAAGAGCTTTGGGGTTTGAAAGAGTTCGTGACAGCTCAGACACCTTCCAGGAGAAAATCAAGCTCTGAGCTCCTGTCCCCTGCAGACTCTCTGCTTGGACACCCAGGCGGTCCATCCAGGATGGAAACATCCAAGGCCTTGCGGGGTGGTCTTAGAGCATTCCAGAATGGACAGACAGGCAGGGACAGTGCCCTGAAGGACCCTCCCAACAAATAGCAAGCTTGCAGGGTCCTGGTGAAGTCGGGGCTCGGGTTCGGGGAGCAGGAAGCCCGGGGCCTCGGGCTCTCCTGGGTAGAGCGGTTCCCACGCGGGCCTCTGTGTCTCTCTCCCCACAAAGTGAATTCGGAGGCATCCGGCGCGAGAGGCGTGCACGGGGTGGGGGGTGGGGCGGAAGGGTCTAGCACAGTGCCTCTCGCACAGTGGGGAACTGGGGTGCCTGCGCTCTCTGACGTTACAGTCGGGGGTGGGGGGAGGCAGAGACGCAAACTAGGGCCACAGCACACACCAGGACCAACCGGGAACTTGGAACGGGGCCCCTAGGGCAGAGGCAGGCGGGCGCGGAGACTTCCCAGGTCAGACGGCTTCCGAGCAACGCCCGAGGCTCTGGCAATCACGCGTCTGTAAACGTGGGCAGGCTTTCTGGCCCGCCGCGCCCAGGAGACCCTCGTTCCTCGGCCTACCGGCATTCCAAAGGGTCCGTCCCACGCTCCAGGTGAGGTCGCGGCCTCCCTCTGCAGTCCCTTAATCCGCACCCCCCTCCGGGTTCAGGATGCGCCGCGGAGGCTCGCGGAGGGCAGGGGCGGGGCTGTTTGGCCAACCTGGTACCGGGTCTGGCGCGTACCTGGGCGGGGGGGGGGGGGGGGGGGGGGGGGGGGGGAACAGCCCGCGGGGGGGGGGGGGGGGGGGGGCCCCGGGGGGGGGGGGGGGGTGGAGGGGTCGTAAGTAAACAGCTCTGAGGACGCGGGCAAGGGTCGCTGCCCCGGCCTAGTGCGCCGACGAGCGGGACGCCCGTCCCGGGATGTGGATTGCGGCCGGCGGGCCGGGCGGGCGGGGGTCGCGGGGGGAGGAGGGGTAGGGGGCGGCTCAAGTTCACGCCTCCTCTCCTCCTGCCGGCGACGGCGGAAGCGGCAGTTCCCACGGCGTCTGGCGGGGCTGAGGGTGGGTCGGCCCCCCGGGGGGACACGGGCCTCGGCGCGCCGGGCCCTTTGAGCGCGCCGCCGCCCCTCCCCCGGCCCGCGTCCTATAACCCGGGGCCCGCGCCCCTCGGGCGGCGCACAGGCTCGCCCAGCGATGGCCGCGTCTCGGTCCCAGCAGCTCGGCTTCGGGGCGGCTCCCGCGCTCCCCGCGCTCCCCGCACTCCCGCCCGGCCCAGCCGCCGCCCCACCGCCGCCCCCGGGCCCCGGCCCCTTCGCCGGCTTCCTGAGCGGCGGCCCCGCACCCCCCGCGCCCCCAGCAGGCGCGCCAGCCCCGTCGGCGTCGCAGCGCCGCAAGCGCACGTCGTTCAGCGCCGAGCAGCTGCAGCTGCTTGAACTCGTCTTCCGCCGGACCATGTACCCAGACATCCACCTGCGCGAGCGCCTCGCCGCGCTCACTCTGCTCCCCGAGTCTAGGATCCAGGTGAGACCCGCTCTCGGCGCGCCGCTCCCCGGGCTGCCCACAGAGGGTGGCGTCGCGACCCGTCGCTGGGGCAATCGTGGGGCGGGGCGGGGCGGGGGGGGGGGCGCGCATGCAGCCACTTCCCTCTGTCGGCGTCCAGTATGGTCGGGGCCCTTCCGAGGTCGCCCGCCGGTCCTTTGAGAGAGTCACAAAGGCCATCCCGAGCAGGAGGGCGAGAAGGAGTCCTTTTACGCTTCTTCTGGATCCAGGAAGGGACAGATGCACGGTTGTGGCTTCCCACGGGGCGTGGGGGGGGTATGGGCTGGTCTCTCGGAGAGGGCAGGGCTGGCTCTCCGGGTGGCCCCCAGCGCCCCTAAGTCCCCTTTCTTGGCGGGTATTGGGTCTGGAATTTTGGTTCTAAGGGTCGTAAAGCCTGAAGTGAGTGGGGCTTCTTGTCAGGGTTTGAAAAATCCAGTGCCAGGCATGTTTATTGCCAAGGGATTTAGATCAGAACCCGGGAGCTTGCTGGTGACCACGAGCCTGCCTTTTTGCGCGCGGTGCTCTGTATCCACGCTTTTAAGTTGGAGCCCTCACTTTAACACTGGGGGGAGCGGGCTTGTTCTTCTGCGTGCCTGGTGGAGCCCATCTGTGGCGTCGGGGCTTCCTGAGCAGGACGCCCTACCTATTTGTTGAGAAACGGTGAGCGGAAAAATGTATTCACCAAAGTGAAGTCCGCGGGCAAAAACCCCTTCTCCACTGATTTGACAAGAGACTGTACTTCCAGAAATTGACTGACTGACTTTCTTTCTTTCTCTCTCTCTCTTTCTTTCTTTCTTTCTTTCTTTCTTTCTTCCTTTCTTTCTTTCTTTCTTTCTTTCTTCTTTTTCTTTTTTAACATTTTATTATTTGACAGAGATCACAAGTAGGCAGAGAGGCAGGCAGAGAGAGAGGAAGGGAAGCAGGCTCGCTGGGGAGCAGAGAGCTGGACGCCGGTCTCCATGCCAGGACCCTGGGATCATGACCTGAGCTGAAGGCAGAGGCTTTAACCCACTGAGCCACCCAGGCGCCCCCAGAAATTGACTTCCTAAATTTTCTTTTTTTTAAAAAAGATTTTATTTTATTTATTTGATAGAGATCACAAGTAGGCAGAGAGGCAGGTGGGGCGGGGGGGAAGCAGGCTCCCTGCTGAGCAGAGAGCCCAATATGGGGCTCGATCCCAGGACCCTGAGATCATGACCCAAGCCGAAGGCAGAGGCTTTACCCCACTGAGCCACCCAGTGTCCCGACTTTCTAAATTTTCTTAACTGCCTGTCATCTTTAAGCCTTTTATCCTCAAATGCTTCCGTTTCTGCCACCCTACTTTTCCCCCCGCAGGTATCCCTATATGATGCCCAGGTAGAGTGAGGCAGGTTCCCCATTTTGCAGCTGGGAAAGCTGAGGCAGGGAGAGCCAGGGACTCTGAACTCCTGGCCACCGATTGGCCCAAGTGCTTGGTGAAAACGGAGGCTCGCAGCAGGGAAGCAGGGCATGTTGGATGGGGACTCGGGTGCGGTGCCCGAGTGTAAGGACTCCAGCTTGGAGCAGCTTCTCTTCCCTCTTCCAGGTGTGGTTCCAGAACCGGCGGGCCAAGTCCAGGCGGCAGAGTGGGAAAGCCTTTCAGCCCTCAGCCAGGCCTGAGCTTTTTCTCCACCCCACCGTTCAGGGACCCGATGCGAAATGTCTGAAGCCCCAACTGCCTCTTGGAGTAGATGTGACCTGCCTGCCCAGTCCCAGCAGGGTTGGGGAGGGCACCCCCCACCTGAGCTGCCAAGGTCAGCGCTTCCAAGCCTACTCTCCCCTCTCTGAAGACACTGGTTCCAAGCTGGACTCGTGGGAGGAACACATCTTTTCTGCCTTTGGTGACTCCTGAGGAGTGTGGGTGAAGTCAGGACAAGCTCCGAGGAGCTGAGACTGAAGGCAGGGACATGCATACCAGGAGGCTGTCCCTTCTGGCGAGGGACACAAGCCTGTTCACCTCGGTAAGGGTGTCACCCGCAGCTCTCACCGGTGAGGCTCCCTCCCCTGTCGCCTGTGAGCCTTTTACCCGCTCTTCTCCCTCTATGGGCTCCTCCCCAGGAGTCCCACGGCCCTTTGCCCCGGGCATCTCCAGACCCACACCTCGGGTTCCATCGGGACCCCTGCTCCTTCTGGCGGGTCGCCCGCTTCCCTTCCAGATTGCTTCATCAGAACTCCCTCTCCCCTTCCCAAGAACCAGCAGCCAGGCTCCCTCTCTCCTCGCTGCCACTGCTGCAGCCGGCTTCTCGTGGTTCCTCCAGGGCTTGTGACCTTGAACTCACTCGGACTCAGTCCTCAGTCTGCCCCCCGAGATCGACCCCTTTTCTGTGAGTGTGACCTGTCATCTTTACACCCATTCGTAGCTCTGGCCATTCTGCATGCAGATTATTTCTAGAGCGCCCCCCCCCCTCCAGCTTCTCAGATTTTCACACATCTTTAGAAATTTGTGGTAGCCTCCTGTGGCCACCGGATGGAAAAAACCTTTCCATTACCTTCCCAGACAACCAGCGGACATCTCCCGCCGACAGAGCAGCCATGCAGATCTTCTTGAGGCCTGTCCCAGAGCAGCCCCCCTCGTCCATGGTCTCAGACACCCAAGGTCCCGTCCCCCCCGAGTCTGAACCCTCCTCTAATCCTGATTTCTTACCTTTTACTCCAGTCACTCCCACATTACCCTTAGCACTTGTCATTGTACTTGGTGCAACTTGAGTGGGTTATTAAATGCTTTCCACAAACGGTTCGCTGTCACTCTGTTGAAACGCATGTGGTCCTTCAGACAGCTCGTCGCGAGGCATCTCCCTCCTCCACCTGGGGAAGGACAGAGTCCATGCATGTGTGGTCACCACTGGGCTGAGAGTTTGGTAAATTAGTCGCAGGAGTGTCTGGCTTCCGATTTCTCTCCCAACGTATACATTAGAATGTATGCAAATTAGGGTCTAAGTTAGCTGAGCTCCGTTAAAATCCTGAGGGTTTTCAAACTCCGGAGGGCCAAGGGCGACTGTCTGTGGGGTGGCTGTAGGGGAGGTGTTTCCGCACACAGCCTTTGGAGGAGACCCGCAGGAGCAGTGGCTGGGGCCAGGACTCCTCTCCGAAGTTGCTGGAACAGTCTGAACGCCATGGAATGTCCTCGCGTTTACATAAGCCAGTCACCCTCATTTTTTACCAAGGTGTTATTCAAATGACTTGTACTTTTCAGGGTAGCGAATGTGTTGTGAGAAGCAGCTGGGAGACAGTTCAGGTTTTATGGCAGACCTGACTTCTGAACCCTTGAGAACAGCCTGGCACCAAGAGGGTAAACATGAGCTGTGGTTATTTGCCCACGTGCTGCTCCGCACTCCCTTTGCATTGGTACTTGTAGACCTGACCTGCAGACATTCCCACTCACAAGACTGAACACTGGACACTTGGAACTTACAGTCCAGTAAGGGTCATGTGTAGAGGTGAACCTTGCAATGAGATTATTAATTAATAGGATTATTGCACTTATGTACATTTTTCCTAGCGAACACCTACAAAATCTATAAATATTTGGGGTGCCAGGGTTTCTCAGTGGGTTAAGCCTCTGTCTTCAGCTCAGGTCATGATCTCAGGGTCCTGGGATCGAGCCCTGCTTCGGGCTCTCTGCTCAGCGGGGAGCCTGCTTCCCCCCTCTCTCTCTGCCTACTTGTGATCTCTGTGAAATTAATAAATAAACCTTTTAAAAAACCTATAAATATTTAAATCTTGTCATTTTTAATTTTTAAAAATTTGGGGACCTGGGGGGCCTGGATGGTCAGCGGGTTAAAGCCTCTGCTTTCGGCTCAGGTCATGATCCCAGGGTCCTGGGATTGAGTCCCACATTGGGCTCTCTGCTCAGCAGGGAGCCTGCTTCCCTCCCTCTCTCTCTGCCTGCCTCTCTGCCTACTTGGGATTTCTGTCTGTCAAATAAAATCTTAAAAAAAAATTGGGGGACCCTTCAGAACACTAGTCTGCACCTCTGTTGAACTCTTGAGAGACCCTAACTGCTAAACGTGTTACAGGCACTGTGTGTTTAATCCTTAGGACGCTGTAGAAGGTAGGGGCTATTATTGTTCTAAAGAGCAAGAAACGTTATGGTTTAGATCACAAGTGACTCAAACCTAGGACTCCGTCCACTCATCTCTCCCCCAGCATATAATGCCTCCTATGTTGGCCTGGCCTTTTTAGTCAGGACCAGGACAAGTGATCATGCTTAAGGGCAACCCCCCAAAGCAGAATTTCTGCATTCAAGGAAGTAGTCTCATCTTGCAAAGCAATTATCATGGAAAACCATAGGTGTGCTCTAGTGACACTGATGTTGCTTTGAGCTCTTTCGAGACTCGGTTCACTGCACAAACATTTGCTGCCTATGAACAGGCACTTTATCAGGGCCTGGAAATAAATGGTGAGCCAAGCCAAGAGCAGAGGAGCTAGCAGGTGGGTCAAAGAAGAAATGTAAAATTGCAAATGTTGCATGTGCCGTACAGAGAGATACAGGAGGGCCTGGAGACAGTGTGCTGTGGTCAAGGAAAAGCTTCCCTGAGAAACTGACATGGAGGATGGTCAGGAGTTACCAAGGTGAGGAAGAGGGACCTGCACATGCAAAGGCCTTGTGGTGGAAGCAGGAGGAATGAAAAATTGTTAGAGGATGTCAGACCATACATGGCTCTCTGGGTCTTGTGGAAATGTTCTGAATTTGTTCTGAGAGCCCTGAGACCTGAGATGGAGAGATCATGGCCAATTCTGCAGTTTAAGACTATCGCTTCCCCAAGGCTGCGGTTGAGGGGGCAGAGTGGATGCTGCAGAGGTCAGGATGACGGATGACTTCCAGGCTGGTGGAGACAGCGGCTGGCGCCGGGCAAGAGAAGTGGTAATGACATAGGCTCAGAAAGTGCCTAGATTCAAGATAAAGAATTTAACGGGCAGATCTTTTGGTAGATTCTCAATGGTAGCAAGTGAATCTGATTTTTGGGACTCAGGGGAAGTAATTCAGAACCAAACTTACGTAGCATGTGGTGTTGATGGCTCTCTTTAGAGCTTGCAAAATGTGCTAGGCGGAGGCCGCAGAGTTAGGATGAATGTGCAGCTGACCCAAAATGACTAGTTTGAACAACACAGATTTCTTCTTCCCGAAACAGAAGTTCAAATATATTCTCAGGCACAGTTCCTGCCCGGGCACCCCTGCCAAGTCAGTCTTGAGAAACAAAAAAAGAAATGTGAAAAGCGAGACACCTGGGGGCTTAGTTAAGTGTCTGCCTTTGGCTCAGGTCGTGAACCCGGAGTCCCAGGATTGAGTCCCGAATTGGGCTCCTTGCTTGGCAGAGAGCCTGGTTCTCCCTCTGCCCCTCCCCCAGTTCTCTCTCACTCTGACAAATAAATACAAATCTTTTTTTTAAAAAAAGGTAAAAAAAAGTGAAAAATGTTTATGTAATTCTAGGTAGTATATATTAAAAACTACCTCTTGGGATGCCTGAGTGACTCAGTGGGTTAAGCCACTGCCTTCAGCTCAGGTCATGATCTCAGGGTCCTGGGATCTAGCACTGCATCAGGCTCTCTGCTCCACAGGGAGCAGAGTTTGTTTTTTTTTTTTAAGATTTTATTTATTTATCTGACAGAGAGATAGAGATCACAAGTAAGCAGAGCAGCAGAAAGAGAGGGGGAAGCAGGCTCCCAGCCGAGCAGAGAGCCCGATGCCGGGCTCAATCCCAGGACCCCAAGACCACAACCCGAGTTGAAGACAGGGGCCTAACCCACCGAGCCACCCAGGCACCCGCGCCCCCCAATTTTTTTTTTTTAGTATATGTGCTGCCAAAGCAAGCACCCCCAAAATTTTTTTAATGAACTATTAACATTAACTGAAACACACAAGTTGAGAAATAATATTTAATGATATCCCACTAAAATACAGCTATTAAATAAGTAATACATTAAAGCTGCATAAAATACGTTTTCATTGATGTTTATGAATTTATTCTGCCATTTGTAACTGAAAAGTAATTAAAATTTTAAATTACAAAATATATATTTCAGTGGAAATTATAGTTCCTTAGAACTTTTCAAATAGAAGGAATACTCATCAGGTTGTATTAATTAAATGAGAATGGTAGACAATACTACTTTTCATAGATCAATTTATTTAGAATTACAAATATTAAGAATAAAGGATTTATGCATTTCTTAATTAACATAACAGTTTAGCTAAATATAAACTCTGCACTAAAGTTCTGCAGTGGCACAATACCAACAAGGAATATGGAAGCATTTTTAAACTATACAAAAATTTCAAATGGAAAATAATCTCGTTTTAGTTTTATTATACATTAACATATAAAAAGTCCCATTTTATGAGACATCTAAAGGAATCAAAGCCACGTCTACAGCTCTATCTTACACTCCAAATCTGAAAACAATTTTATTATATTTTGACTTTATAATATTCTATATTAAAACAAAGAAAATCCCAAATACACACTTTTTACAAGATTAACATTTTAGGTAGGGTTTTTCCTTTAAAAAACCAAAAAAACAACAAAAAACCCCCACAACCAAATACAAACTTTTTTTCTGCATTTCACAGCACTGGTTATTATATCTGTTTTCCTTATAAAATCTTTTGACTTTATAAATTGTGTACGGTTGGATTTTAACCAGTCATCTGGTTCAAAAGTTGTGCAAATAAACAAAATATGAAAATAGTGTGTTATCAGTCTTTTTAAGTAAGTCTCATAACAATAGCACTTTTTTGCCCTGAATTGACGGGAAAAGTCAGGCCAAATCTACTTGCTGAAATGTAGCATTTTGCAAGTAATTTACTTTTTTCCTGCTCCTTCATTTTCTTTCAACAGACAAACAACAAAGGTTTCTTTTATAAATTATGATAAATTAAAATACTTATTATTATAAAATGATCTCTAGAGCCATGTCACCCTGCAGGTGTCCATCTCGCATACTTGTCAAGGCCGCAGCTCTGTGGCTGTTCCGGTGGCTTCCCGACACCTGACTTCCCACTCCCCGGGGCGCTCTCTTCCAGAAGCCTGGCAGGGTGAGGAGCTGCGGGCCTGCACCGCAGCCCTCCGGTCGCAGTTCCAAGCAGGAGGCCTGTGTCTGCTCGCGCCTGCCGGGGGGAGCAGCTGTCTGCGCGTGTTGGCGGAATTCATGCACGTTGAAAAAAGGGTCAGCACACTCTTCCGTGACAGCGTCTTTTGTTCAGACAGTTTCGGTTGAAAAATCCTTGCCGATAAACGTGTAACATAAGTGATGCTACTGCAGCTGAATAATAAGGAGAAAAATAAATAGAATGCTGGTCAGCAGTGCTGGTTCAAGAAGCACGACGGTACGTTCCAGTGCCTTCGCTGGAGATGCACAGTTCCCTTGTTTTCCAGCACGTGGGTCATTTGGTGTTGGAAGCCGAGGGGAAGGGACCGCAGTGTCCTGTGCGGCTGGAACAGGGAAGACTGCTCCTCAGTCCCTGTTGGTGTCATTGGCGGCAAAGGCGTGCAGGTTTCCCATCTGGCTCAGGCCACTCTGAATGTGTGCAACATGGATTTCGACATTATTCTGAAAGCAACTGAAGAAGAAACACGGTTACATCCCTTATTTCATGATGTTAGGGAAATACTTGTTAAAAAACGAAGAGCTGAATTTTAGTCCAAAAAGCCGCTAAGATCAAGCCCCGAGGAAGGAAGGAAGCTCCCCCACCACACTAGCTACACCCCCCACCCCCCAGCTGTGGTTGTCATGGGAAGGGCTGCTGGAGGGGGCAAAGGAGCCATGGGGGTGCTGGCGAGAGCAAGACTGTCTCTCCGGGGAAACCCTACTCAGGGGAAACGCCACACCAACCCCAAACCCGAACACTGGGCATCTTCGAGTTCCTTCACATAAACCAAAGTCCATGGGAAACGTCTACTCCATCAATAGGCAGGACATAACTGAAAAGCTCTTTGGGAATCTATTTATGGCATAAAAATTCTATGAATGCTTCACAAATAGGCATAATTCCTAAAACCTGTACTGGAAATCCCCTTGGACTTAGAAAAATGACTGAGGTATACCTAACAAATTACCTGATATTGGAAGCATCTATCGTACTCTTGATATCATTTAATGAATCTGTAAGGGATTTGAACTCAAAGGAATTCAGGTCTCCTCCTTCTGCCAGACACTGAGGGAAAAAATAATTCAAAATTTAACTGAATTCTAGTCCAAACTCAGACACAAAATACCGACACGATCTGTGTATTTTAACTGCTTAGCCACAAATGAGTGTGTTTGTGTAGGTGTCAAAACGAAGAGAATGTGTTCTCTGAGATGTACCTTAATTTGTAATAAAATAGCAGTGAGCCTGGAGATTAAGTCTGTCAGATTTTCATTCTCAACACAGGGCTGCCCGGTGGAGGAGTTGGCATGCCGGACGATCTCCTGCGCTTCCTCCTCACACCTCCGCCTCATATCCGTGGGCTGGTCTGCAGGCTGTAGGCCCTGGTCTGGAGCGAGCTGGAAACAGAGGAGTCAAATGTGAGATGTAGGCTCACCAGGCCAGATGATTTCTGTGGGGTCCTGTCCTGTTTTCAGAGGCAGAGGTTTACGAAACTAGCCTTTATAATGAAAATGGGCCTCACTCCTACTTTAGAAATGTTTCTTCTCAAACGGTTTTCTTTTCTGGATTTTATATTTTTAGCAACTTTTAATTCTGATATAATTTCAAACTGCTAAAAAGAAACAGAACAAATAACTCCTAGAAATCTTTTTTTTTTTTTTTTTTTTTTTAAGATTTTATTTATTTGGCAGAGAGAGACACAGTGAGAGAGGGAACACAACCAGGGGGAGTGGGAGAGGGAGAAGCAGGCTTCCCTCTGAGCCGGGAGCCTGATGTGGGACTCGATCCCAGGAGCCCCAGATCATGATCTGAGCCGAAAGCAGATGATTAACGACTGAGCCATCCATGCGCCCCTCCTGAAAACCTTGTACCCAGATTCACTATCTATTTCTGCTTTATTCTGAGTATGATCACTTATTCGGAAGCCCAAGCTGTCCCAGATCTAGTCAGTGGGAATCACTGTTCAGCCGGTCTCTTGAACATGCTCCCGTAAGCTGGGGGGCACAGTGAGACAGTCCGGGCTCTGGAATCGGTCTCTTTTTCAAGAAGCCCTTCTTCCTTTGATTGGACAGCACCATTTGGAAACCACGGTCAGGTGCTGGGGTGCTCGCTGCTGTCAGGGTGTGCTTCTGGGCTCTCTCAGCCTGCAAGCGGGCACACACACAAACACACACCTGCATCTACATCGTAAAAATAAACTGAAGCACAAAGTCAGACCGATTCTCCTATTCTAACCCAACAGCATGGGGTTCGCTGTAGTCTTCCTGTCTTCGTAACTGTCTTCTCCGGAGGTAAGAGGACAGGCCTCCCTGATCGGCGATACCCAGGTGCCCCATATGCTTTTATTTTAAAATCAATATTGTAGGGGCATCTGGGTGGCTCAGTTGCTTAAGCAGCTGCCTTCGGCTCAGGTCATGATCCTGGAGTCCCAGGACTGAGTCCCACATCGGGCTCCCTGCTCGGCGGAGAGTCTGCTCTCCCTCTGACCTCTCCACTCTCACACACACTCTCACTCTCTCAAATAAATAAATAAAATTAAAAAAAAAATCAATATTGTAGGGATGCCTGGGGGACTCAGTTGGTGAAGCGTCTGCCTTCGGCTCAGGTCTTGATCTCAGGGTCCTGGGATCGAGCCCCATGCTAGGATCCCTGCTAATGGGGGAGTCTGCTTGAGATCCTCTCTCTTCCTCTGCCTCTGCCCCTACTTTCTCTCTCAAATCAGTCAACCAATCAATCTATCCTTAAAAAGTAAAGCAAATCAATACTGTACTTCCCCAAGAGCTTTCTGAAAATCAAGTTGTTTTACTTCATGGGGAAATGAGCCTATCACAAAAGGCCCTATGGTACATACTGCAATTACACGAGACTGATGGGCCACCCACTCGTGTGCGTGTCCTCAGCTTTGTTACGTGCTGTCTTGGACTGCTTGAAGGTTTGCCTCTCTTGTGGGTCAGCTGCTAATCTGGAGGGAGAAAGCTATCCGCTAGGGCAATACCTACTGCTATGTAGGTGACAACTACTGGGAAAATAAAAATAAAGGATGATAGATGGCTAGAGAAATGAGCAGAACATTCTCAGAGCATAGTCACAGGCAACCACAGTGCATTTGCCTCAGCTCCAGGAGGATGGATCAACAACATGGTCTATGGCAGATCTTCGGGACTCGACTAGGAGGCTAGTGTCAGAAAGAGCCAACCGTTGGAGAACCTCGGGTCACAAATGGAGGTGGCTCACAGGAAACATAAAACCTCTGAAAATACAAGTGCTGGAGCATCCTAAACTCATCTCAGTCATGTAATTCTTATCTTGTAAGAAAATCAACTGAGGTGAAACCACTGAACTGTCTTCATATATATAATTTTATGTAGATGATGACAATTCACAAATAACCCTATGTTCTGCATATTTGAAGTTCAAGAATCTATAGTTCTAAAGTTTAAAGAAGGAGGAAAAAAATTGTGTACACAGCCTGATCATAACTTTGTGAGAAAAAGCATGTACACACACACATATATATACACACAAGACAAGGGGGAAATAAACCAAAATACAGCATTTGGGATTGTGGGATTAAGAGTTCAAGAGTAATCATTTTTCTGGATTTTTCTTAAATTTTTTTCAAAAGCTGTACCTTTGTAATTGAAACAAACGTCAAGAGAATTGAGAGCTCTCTGTAAAACACTCTTCAGAACGAGTAAAAGTGTATGTAGAATATGGTTCCAATAGAGATGTTGGCTTTGTTTGAAACTTTCCAGCATGTGAAGGTAACGGTATTTAGCTTCCAATAGAAGAGTAGGGGGAGCGCAGACCCTCAGGGGAAGTGTCTGCACCTCTCCTACCTCATAGCAGTACTGCTGAACCTTATGCAAAACTTTGTTGAGGTCCTTATTGAGCTGCTCAAGCTCCAGAACGATGGTTGCATATCTCCGCTGAAACTCGATGCCGATGGGCATGGAATAGGATTTCTGCAAGGAAAAAAAATCAGATTTTTTAAAAAGAGTTATTTATTTATTTGGAAGAGAGAGAGAGGGAGAGCAGGGGGAGAAGTAGACTTCCCTACTGAGCAAGGAGCCAGATGTGGGGCTCGATCCCAGGACTTTGGGATCCTGACCTGAGCCGAAGGCAGACGCTTAATTGACTGAGCCATCCAGGTGCCCCCAAAATCAGTTTTTTAAGATTTTATTTACTTATTTGACAGACAGAGATCACAAGTAGGCAGAGAAGCAGGCAGAGAGAGAGGGGGAAGCAGGCTCTCTGCTGAGCAGAGAGCCCGACGTGGGGCTGGATCCCAGGAGCCTGGGACCATGACCTGAGCAGAAGGCAGAGGCCTTAACCCACTGAGCCACCCAGGTGCCCCCCAAATCAGATTTTGATAAGTACTTTTTTTTAGAGAGAGAGAGAACACATGGGGTGGGTGGAGAGGCAAAGGGAGAGGGAGAATCCCAAGCAGCCTCCACACTCAGTGAGGACCCAGACTCACAATCTTGAGATCTCACAACCCTGAGATCATGACCTGAGCTGAAATCTAGTGTGTGATGCACAAGTACAACACGATGGGCGCTTGGGTGGCTCAGTTGGTTAAGTGCCTGCCTTCGGCTCAGGTCATCATCTTAGGGTTCTGGATCGAGCCCTGCGTTGGGTTCCTTGCTCAGCGGGGAGCTTGCTTCTCGCTCTCCCTCTGTCGCTCCCCCTGTTTGTGTGCTATCTCTCTCTCATATAAATAAATTTTTAAAATTTTAAAAAAAAGTATAACATGAGAAAACTGCACCGAATATACATATAGAACTCAATGAATTATCACAATGCAAACACCGGTGTAAAAACAATAGTTCTAAAAAAGTTAAACATCTACACGTACCATATGATCCAAGAGAAATGAAAATATTTGTCCATGCAAAGACTTGTAGGCGAATGTTCAATTTTCTTTGTAACAGCTAAAAAATGTAAAAAATTCAAATGTCCTTCAACAGGGGAACAGATGAACAGATTGTGGTGTACCCACACAAGGTGGTACTGCTCAGCCATAAGAACAAACTACAGTATGTTGCATGAACCGTGGAACACACAACTCAGTGGATGAATCGAAATGGTTACACCGAATGAGAGATGCCAGGCCAAAAAAAGCATATATATTGTTTGATTCCACTTATGTACAATTCTAGAAAATGCGAACTAGTCAGTGAGGACAGAAGGTAGATGAACGGTTGCCTGGAGGCTAAAGTAGAGGGAAGGATGGATTGTAAAGGGCTTGGGGAAATCTGGTGAGGAGTGGAGAAGACAGAAATACTTGTAACCTAGTATCTGGTGATGGCTTCATGGGTGTGTATGAATATATGGGCAAACACATATATGTGACCAAACCATACATTTTAAACAGATACTTTCGTTCACTGTACACCAATTATACCCCCAATGAAGTTGGGGAAGCCATGGGAAAACTCCACCCAGATCAACAGAACAGTGCTAACCCTTCAGAAGCCCCTGTGCATCACCTTACAATCCCTTCTCTCTTCCCTCCAAAGCAACCTTACTAACATCAAGCCTCATGGTATGACTTCTGAAATTTATTTACAATGCAATTATAGTGGCGCCTGGGTGGCTCAGTGGGTTAAAGCCTCTGCCTTCGGCTCGGGTCATGATCCCAGGGTCCTGGAATCGAGCCCTACGTCGGGCTCTCTGCTCGGTGGGGGACCTGCTTCCCCCATTCCTTCTCTGCCTCCCTCTCTGCCTACCTGTGATCTCTGTCAAATAAATAAAATAAAATCTTAAAAAAAATGCAGTTATACAGTATATACTTTTGTTCTCAGCTTCTTTCAATTAACATTGTGAAATTCATCCATCTAGTTGTGCACACCCACAGTCAGTTCCCCTCACTGTGGTGTAGTGTTCCTTTGTAGCAATAGCCTCTATCCAGCCATCCTATTGGTTCCATCTGTTGTTGGGCAATAGGGCTGTACCTGGTTCTTGGCCAACAGGAATAGTGCTGCTATGACATTCTATACTTACGTACCCACATGTGTAGCTTTAGTAGACAGAGCCAGAGTTCCCCAAAGGGACAGAATAAGAACGTTCTGGCTGAGGAGCCTGGGGTACGCAGTCAGTGAGGCATCCGACTCCTGGTTTCAGCTCAGGCCATGATCTTGGGATGGCAAGATCAAGCCCCACATCAGGCTCCATGCTCAGCATAGAGATAGCTTGGGATTCTCTCTCTCTCTCCCTCTGCCCCTCCCCAACCCCCTCTCCGAAATAAACAAAGTCTTTACAAAAAAAAGTTCTGGCTGCTTCACATATTTTCCAATCTTTGATTTTTTTTTTTGATACATTATCTTATTTTATTCAAATACCAGTCTGATCACACACGGTCCAAGAACACTCAAATAATAAGGCACATATAAACAGATGTTAAAGATTGGTCTTCAAATATTCTACCCAATGATGCCATGCTTGCCTATGATCTCGCCGACATAAAACCACATCCATACCTCGGTGGCCTCCAAGCTATTCAGCAGAGCTTCCTCAACTGTAAGCTGTTCGAAGCTACCAGTTTGAGCACTCTTGACTATTTTTTTCCAGCTCTGAATAGCTCTAGGCACTAGGGATCTCAGCAGGGGTTGGAGGAAGCAGCTCAACCTTGGCATAGCACCAAAATGTGGCCAATCGAGGCTTTGAGTAAGTCATAGCAGCGTTCACCAACTCTAGGGCCTTCTCCACAAGGTTACAACAAACTGGGCCAATCTCTGATATTTTAAGTGTTTGAATAGGAGCCACTTGAGAGGATGTGAGTGATATCTCTTTGAGGTATTAATCCGCATTTTCTCTATTACCCATGAGGCTGGGTACCTTATCAAAAATTTTTTGTACATCTGAATATCCTTTTTTTTTTTTTTAAAGATTTTATTTATTTGAGAAAGACTGAGTGAGCAAGTGGGGGAGGGGCAGAGGGAGACAAAGACTCTCCACCGAGCAGCGAGCCCGACACGGGGTTCGATCCTAGAACTCCAGGATCACGGCCTGAGTCAAAGGCGGACGCCCAACTGACTGAGCCACCCAGGCACCCCTGCCTATCTTTTCTTATTGACTTAAGAGTTCTTTATATATTCTGAAGGCAAGCTTTTGGTCAATTACATGTGCTTTAAGCATTTCTTTCCATTCTGTGGTTTGCCTTTTATTTTCTTGTAGTTGTATCTTTTGATGAACAGAGATTTATAATTTTAATGTAGTTCAATGTATTAATCTTTTCCTTTATGGTTACTGTGTTCTATACTCCATTTATCTCACTTAAAGAGTTCTTACCCCAAGGTTTGTTTGTTTTTTTTTTAACCCCAAGGTCTTAAATTCTCCTACATTATTTTTTAGAAGCTTTATATTTTGCCTTTCACATTTAGATCTAAAATACTAATCATTCCGGGGTGGGGGGGCGGGCACCTGGCTCTCAGTTGGTAAAGCATGCAACTCTTGACCTCAAGGTTATGAGTTTGAACCTCATGTTTGGTGGAGACATTACTTAGAAAAATTAACTCAAAAAAAATAGGGGTGCCTGGGTGGCTCAGATGGTTGGGCGTCTGCCTTCAGCTCAGGTCATTATCTCAAGGTCCTGGGACCGAGCCCCGCATCAGGCTCCCTGCTCAGTGGGAAGCCTGCTTCCCCCCTCTCTCACTGCCTGCCTCTGCCTACTTGTGATCTCTCTCTCTCTTTCTCTGTCAAATAAATAAATAAAAGCTTTAAAAGAAAATAAAAATATATAAAAGCAGTAATTTTTCAGTGAGGTAGGGGGTCGGGATCCCACGCCTGGCACCATACTGTTATCCATTGACTCAGTGCCATTTCAAAAACCTTTCTTTCCGCATTACTCCGCAGAACCACTTTTGTCATAGATCAAGTGTCAACTCCTGGACACTTTTTTTTTTCTTTTCTTTTAAAGATTTTATTTACTTATTTGACACAGAGAGAGAGATCACAAGTAGACAGAGAGGCAGGCAGAGAGAGAGGAAGGGAAGCAGGCTCCCTGTAGAGCAGAGAGCCCGATGTGGGACTTGATCCCAGGATACTGGGATCATGACCTGAACCGAAGGCAGAGGCTTCAATCCACTGAGCCACCCAGGCGCCCCTCCTGGACACTTCCGAAATCTCATTTTCTAACTACTTATTACTAATACATAGAAATATAACTACTTTTATTAAAAACTGATCTTTAATCTAGCAACTTTGCTAAACTAATTCTAATAATTTATCTGCAGATTCTTTTAGATTTTCTGGGTACAAAACCACATCATCTGTGAATAAAACAAACTGGTCTTATTTCTTCCTTTCCAATCTTTATAGATTTTTTCCTTTATTACACTGGCTAGACTCTCCAATATGCTATGAAATAGCAATTGTGATTATAGGCTTCCATATGTCATTTTCATTTTGAAAAAGAAAGGTTTTTTTTTTTTGTTTATTATTTTTAAAAAGTCGGCTCTATGCCCGATAGGGGCTCAAACTCAGAATCGTGAGACTGAGTCACATGCTCGACAGGCTGAGCCAGTCCATGCCCCTCAAGAGAAAATTTGTAACACTTCACTAGTAAGTGTATTTGCTGTAAGTGTTTTGGTACATACTGTCAGATTAAGGGATCTTAATCTTAACTATTCCTAGTTTGGTAAGAATATTTATTTTTCCACCAGGAAGGGATGCTTAATTATGTAAGACGGTTTTTCTGCATTTATCGAGATGTTCTTGTGGATTCTCTTTACTCTCTTAAGTTGATAAATGACACTTAAAATTTTTTTTTTGAAAATTTTATTTGTTTGACAGACAGAGATCACAAGTAGACAGAGAGGGGAAGCAGGCTCCCTGCTGAGCAGAGAGCCCGATGCGGGGCTCGATCCCAGGACCCTGATAACAAGACCTGAGCCGAAGGCAGAGGTTCAACCCACTGAGCCACCCAGGCACCACATACACTTAAATCTTTTTAAATTAATTA